ACATATCACATTTATTACAATTTTGTGTATGAATACACGTACCAATTACGAGCTTCAGATGGCTCTAGATGAGTAGGACGAAAAAATACATCACATTTATTACAATTTTGTGTATGGATACACGTACCAATTACGAGTTTCAGATGGCACTAGCTAGACGAGTAGAACGAATAAACACATCACATTTATTACAACTTTAATTTATGTATGGATACACGTACCAATTGGGAGCTTCATATGACACTAGAAGAGTAGAACGAAAAAATAAAATTTGTTTTAAATTATATCACATTTATTTGACATCGATGATATTTAAAAACGTTTGTTTTAAATTATATCATGTAACTTCCTATAATTTGAATATTAAGTAGGAATAAACTAGGTCAAAATAGTTATTAAATTACACACAAAAATGTAATTGAGTTATTTGGTTAATAAAATGTAATTGATTTCCTGGACATGTCAAATTCGTGCAATTAAATCAATATTAACCAGTACTCAAGTCAACTGCTAACGTAGCGGTTAAGAAAAGAGACTTCTTCGTCTTCAACATGAGACTAAGAGGCTTCTTCATCTCCAACTTGGAAACAAAAGGGAAATAAATTTTTAAATCTTAATCGCACATCAACAATTAACTTGGAGTCCTATTAACTTTTGGTATAATTGTACATATTTGACTTTTATAGACAATGATTTTTTAATGAGTTGGATGACTCAATTACATTTTTGCTTGTATTTTGGGTGCTAATTTAAACCATATGCCTCTAAAATAGTATTTCTTAAAAAAAAAAAAAAAAAAAAAAACTAAACAAAACCCAACTTTTATTATTAAAAAAAAAAAAGTACAAGCAAGAGAGGACATACACCAAAAGCCCTCAAAATAAAGCAAGAACTAAACTGACAAACAACTCGGTAGCATTGAGAGTTTAACTTTTGAATGCTACTGACTCTATTAAAGTTGTAGCTATGAGAGTTTAACTTTTGTGACGATTTAAATGGTGCAAAGTTATTGGAGTGAAGTTTTGACTTTGAAAATTTTGGTTTTATAAAGTATCACGTTATTTGGCATTTAAATAATCACATTTCAACATTTTATTAATTTTTAAAAGATAAAAGATTCATTGATTGAAATAATATTAAGTGACGAGATATAGATTAAAAAAAAATAATATTTATTTAAACAATGAGTCTTTTTCTCTGAAAATTAATGAAATATTCAAACGTAATTGGTTGAAAAAGTAATATCTAGTTAGACATGACCTCAATTCAATTTCTGATTTGAATTGGTGGTTCATGGTACTAGAATCATAGGAACCAGTTTCGTTTTGAATTGGTTTTTATTTTTATTTTTAAATTGTAATTTCTATTTTTAAAATTATCTAAATTCAACTTTTTAAGAGTTTTAAAATAATTTTTTAGATCAAATATTTAGAATTTTAAGTTAAACAAACAAACAAACAACAACAATAATATTAATAATAATTTTGAATTTGTATTTAATTTTATCAAGATTAAGTTACGTTACCTACCTATCTTATAAGACTTTTAATAAAAATCAAAACCTACATATTAGATTAATAAAAAAAAAATCAAACCTTTAAAAAAAAAAAAGATTTTGGAACCTAGACCTGATTTGGTTTAAATTGAATCATGGTTATCTCTAAGTATTTGGAAGATATACAATCTTATCTCTTAATAGGATTGTGTCTATTTTTGTTTATATTTAGAAATAATGAGAGAAATTCATAATCACTATATGAGAATGTGCAATAAATATAGACTAGGTAAATCATAATCTTGTAAAATAATTTATAAACCACACAAAAGCGATACAACGTAACATATTAGAAAGGCTACTTGATGTGACATGCTCAATTAAAAATATATTGATAATAATTAACACGTAATTTTTTATACAAAAATTATGTTTCATCTAATGCATTACCCCCTTCGAGGCAAAATGTTAACCATTGGGATGGGCTACATTTACTCGTTTGTGTCCAAAATTTCATTGTTCATAACTAAACGAGTGGCTGCTGCACAAATTAAATAGGCATTAAATTGGTTTTCAGCTTTCTGTCCTGGATCAAATTGTGATAATAAATTATTCTGATTCTCGAGGAATATTTTTGATTATATTTTAAGATTTAATAGTTGATGCAATGATGAAGAAATAAAGACCCTACAAGCTAAGCAGTCAAGCACAGGGGGTGTAACTGTGTAAGAGCATCCTTATCAGTTGGGATTATTAGGGGGAGAATGTAAGAGTGAGTAGGAAAGAGAATACTGTGGGAGGGGAGGGAAAAAAAAATCAAAACTGATTTTATAAAAAAATATATATATAAAAAATAAGCATGTCATTTCTCTATTGGTTCTTTATCCTTCATCATTAATTATTTTTCTTGGGCAGAGTAATATCCCAACATTTGCAGATGCTCCCCACCCCTTCTCTCTCTTGATTCTCTCTCTGCCACCATGACATTTTGGCCTCAAAAGTAGTGAATTCTCCCCTATTTCTCCTCTGATGTAGATGCTCTAAGCCTTTCTGCAGTTGAACAGCCAATAGTAGCGTCAAGCATGCACTCTCCCATGCTTCTCCTCTTTTGGGTTTAAATGATTAAATTAGAATATAAAATTTTTAGCTTTGAAGGCCCTTTCTAGTTTTTACATTTTACCATGGCATCATCTGGTGAATATAATAGATCGAAATTAGAAAGCTGATTGCTGAAAGGACGTTTTAGCTTCATGATCAATATAATTCAACAGATCTCTGGGACCTCCTCCTTCAATATTATATTGTTATTATGATTTTATTACTACCGTTCTTATCCACAACTACGAATAGTGTTTAGTATAATATAATCCTTATGATAGATCTATCTTAATCAAATATTATTAATACTAATATTGATAATAATTTATACAACAAAAAAATAGTATATATAACTATATTTTGTACTTAGAGGTGTATTCAATCAACACTATTATAAACATTTAAAAACTTTAAAGAATTTTTTAAAGGGGTGGTCGAGCTTAGAGAGCTCCATGGCTCGTGAATGGCCCAGAGGGTAGGGGAAAGGCTGCGGCGATGATGAAGGTGGGTGGTGTCGCGGGTGGCAATGGAGTGGGTGCTGCAAGAGTGGTGTTGGAGGTGGATAACTTAGTGTTGGGTTCGAAACGAAGAAGGGGAGGTGAGGGGGATGATGATGTTAGAATGGGGAGGTCTCTTCAACTCTATGTTTGGCGGATAATGTTGTAAAAATTGGTCTAGGCGCTAGGTGCCCATAGGCCGAGGCGATTTTAGTCTTAGGCGGCTTTTAGTCGGTCGACTAGGCGCCTAACTTGGCCGAGTCGGTGCCTTACTCGGCCAAGTTGGGGCTCAACTCGGCCGAGTGATTTTTTTTTTTTTTTTTTTTTTGCATGCTCGGCTACTCCTCTTCTATATTTCTCCAACCATGTACTAAACTAACCATCTAACATATGCAGTTGACTAGTTTAGGGATTATAACAGTCTAACAATTCCTAGCCCTGAGTGGAAAAAGTAGAGACGATATACTCAGATTACTCGGCTGCCTAGGCACTCCCCGGGTGCCCGACTAGCGCATAGCGCCTTCTACAACATTGTTGGCAGGTCCTGGGGTCAAGGCCCGCCCTTCCCAATGAGTGTGTTGAGTTGGAACTCTCGTGGCTTGGGTGATCCACGAATAGTTCGAGAGGTGTTAGGCTTCCTGTTCAAGGTGGAATACATTGCATCAACCTGGGAGCATTAGCCGATCTGGTACGGGCTTGTATTCTTACTGAGCGAGAGTTGGACTCAGGGAAGAATCCATATCACAGAATCACCCTTGGAAGGGTGAGAAACCACCACCACTCTGGATCCTCCCTGCTTGCAGAAATGAATGGATCAGCGCGCTTATGTCAGCTTGCTTTCGTTAGCGTGGTATAGGGGTCCAAGCGTGGCATTGAGGCAAATTTCATTGAGAGGAATCAGCAAAGAAAAGAAAAACGGGTCTCATTTTTCTAATGAAGACAAAGGTGGGAGGGATCACGCAAAATGGTTGAGGGTTCAGATAGTGAGGGGTTGTTTTATGTGGACCGTGTAGGGTTGAGTGGGTGGTTAGCCTTCTTTTTTTTTTTTTTTTTTTTTTTTTTTTTTTTTTTTTTTTGAGGGGAAGGAATATGGCAAGTTTGTTGAGTTTTAGTGATAATCATGTTGACTTGGATGTTACCATGCAGGGTGGGCAACCTTTGCGTCGGACTTGTTATTATGGTTTCCGAAGAGGGGAGGAAAGAGGAGGCTTGGCGGTTTCTATAGGCGTTGAGGGGTAGGTAAAATTTGTCATGGGTAATGATAGGTGATTTTAATGAGCTAGCTTCATATGCTGAAAAATGGTGCGGACGGGGAGTGGGGGGGAGGGGGGATCCTGTGGGTTTGTTGCAGGGTTTCTCGAAAACTTTGGAGTTTTGTGGTTTGATACATCTACCAGTCTCGGGTTACTTGTTTACTTGGGAGAGGGGAAGGGGTAAGGTGGGGTGGGTGGAGGAAAGGTTGATTGGATAGGGGTTGCGGATCGGGCTTGGTGTGCACTGCATGAAGGAGCAAGAGTTTTCACCATGAAGGAACATCGAAAATTATGAACATATAGCTCTAATTATGAACATATATTTATAAAATTATGAACATATAGCTCTATAATTATGAATCTACAGTATAAAAATTATGGATATGGAACCGTACCCACCTTGCAAGGGGTGTGCACGTTTCCATAGCATAATTGGGTTAAAATATTTGGGTTAAAATGTTGGGCCTAAGGGTTAGAAGAAAACCTGATTTTGTTATTGTAAAATAGGATAGGTTGAGTTTGGGCTCAAATCTTGGGCTCATAAGAGATATAATAAAGATCAAATGTTAGTCTCAAATAGATTTTTGGGTTCAAACTTTGATAAATAAAATTTGAAATATGTATAAGGTTTATAAAATCATAATAGCCTTATAAATATTTTCATACAAAAAATCATCCTTAACAACAAAATAAACATATTTACAAAAATACTATTATGTCCTTAACCTATCCACATATTCCATGAATCAAACATGGCATTACACAATTTCTAGTCAAAGTGAAAATATGTAGATCCTATCTAGGCCTTGCAAAACAAATATTGGATCCAAAGTAAACAAAGCCCACAACTAACAGTAAATTGCCAGGAAAAAAAAAAAAGTTGGATCATTTTCTCTAATAGCTCCGATTAGTCGCCGGAAAAGGGCACTCTGGACGTCCGATCGCATTACCGCTGGTAGTTTTCTTCGGGTGGAGAGGTGAACGATGAGCGGCGCCGCCGTGGTTGTGGCCGTGACGGTGGCTCGTCGACTGGTTCGGTTTGTGGTCTCTGGACCTCATCTTGATGGCGTTAATGTCTTCCAAATTGGCCAAAACTTCTTCCATGTGTGGCCTCACCTTAGGGTCAGGCTCCAGGCATTTCATTATAAGCTCAGATATTTGGAACACTGCCTTTGAAGGGTACTGCCCTTCCAGTCTTGGGTCTATTATCTTCCTTAGCTTCTTCTTATCGGGCAAAATGGGCTTTGCCCAATCTACAAGATTGTGTTGCCCACCCGGTCGGTTCAAGTCCATCACTCTCAAACCCGTTATTATCTCTAACAGAACTACTCCGAAACCATACACGTCACTTCTCACGTACAAATGTCCTGCATAGATACCGGAGTGACTTTGATTAGAATTTAAAACACGTTTTATTTTTACTAGAAATAATAATCATGGTCATCTACAAATGTTTCTATGGCATTTGTAACATTTGTAGATGATCATGATCACGTTTCTATGAGCTTTCAAAAAAAAAAAAAATGTTTCAATGAGAGGTTTGTTTTGTTTTGTTTTGTTTTGTATTTTTTTTTTAAGTATTACTAACTCAGTTACAACTCATGATTTTCTACTTGAAAAAGTCACTTCATACTACTACATCATAGGTTTGGCGACAATGACAACAAGTAAACAGGTTGTTTGGGCGGCCGCTGAATAATTAATTCTAACATTATTAATTCCCTATGGGGGACAGAATGCTGAATGCATGCGGGCCATTCTAAATTCTTATTCAGATTACTACTCAATATAATATCCTAGTTATGTTAATTAAATGGATAATCTAAGGAAAATAGTTGTCAGAAGGCACACATTAGATGCAACAACCCTCACCATATTTATTTTTAATGATTTCCATATTTAATGAAAGAAATTGTCATGATTCAATTCTATCGAAAGTTCAAAGTTGAATCATGTACAGTACAAACTAGGGATGTCAACGGGGCAGTAGCGGGGAGTATACTCCCCGTCCCGTCCCCATCCTCGACGGAGGATTAAAAATAGTCTCCATTCCCGTTTCTGTGGAGAATTAGGCGAGAATAGAATTTTTGATTAATACTTAATCAAAATCATAAATTAGTGTAATTTTTAATTTTAAAAACTAAAAATTTAAGTTATATATATATATATATATATATATATATATATATATATATAATAATAATAATAATAATAATTATTATTATTATTATTATTCGGGGACGGCACGGGACGGGGAGGAGTATCCCCATCCTCAACGAGAATCACATATATTCCCTGTCTCCGTCGAGTCAGGTATCGAGAATCCTCGTCGGGGACGGAATAAATTGCCATCCTTAGTAAAAACTAGTCATGAACTATAACTGTATGAAAACTTAATCGATAATTCAGAAAGTACCTAGAACTGTATAGTAACAGTTCAAGTTACAATTCTTATCAACTAGCAGGTCTACATCTATGTTGCTTATAAAATTATTTCACTTCTCTAATATTTTATAACGTTAATTAGTTGTTGTTCCTAAAATGAGAAGAAAATAGTGAAAGTAAGTAGTGGTAAATAATGGTAAACATTGTTTTCACGGACAACTCAGTTGGTTCTTGGGTAGTAGATTATAAATAAGGATATATGACCGAACAATGATAATTGTAGTGTAGGAGTTACACTCAATGTGATTAATTCTTTATAACCACTAAACATTAATTCTCTTACCTAATAGATCAATCCATCACCGTAATTTATTTTCTTATTATTCTATCGGATCAGAGTATAGGGGTTCTAGAGGTAAAAGAATTTGCTTTGGATAAATTATGGTAAAAATTGAAAAAATGAATAATTACCAGTTGCCATGTACTCTGGTGCTGCATACCCATAGGTTCCCACCACTCTCGTTGTTACATGTGTGGCTCCTTCTTCCGGACCCGACTTTGCCAGTCCAAAATCTGAGAGCTTCGTATTATAATCCTGAAATTAAATAAGCAAAATGAACAAAATTTTTAAATAGAAAAAAAAAACCATTTTAGTATTTCAATTGTAACTATATAATACATTTATTTTACATGGTAAAATATTAAGACAAATTCTATAAAAAAATAAGAGTGAGGTTTGTTTGATAGTTTTTTTTAGGCCAAGTAGGAGGGAAAAAATCGAGAAAAAAATAGAAAATTAATGTCAGAAAAAAAAAGATAGTTTTTTTAGGCTAAGTAGGAGGGAAAAAATCGAGAAAAAAATAGAAAATTAATGTCAGAAAAAAAAAAATAATGATTTACGCGCCCAGCGACCAACAGGCACAACTAGTGTGCAAAATGAACACCAATGTGAGTTTTTTTTTTTTTAATTTGTAGGACCCACAAAAAACTAGTTCTCCTGCAAGTTTATTTATTTTTTATTCTCCCCTCCCTCCCTCAAGTCATTCTCTCCCCACCAACCATGCAAAAAAATTCAAAAAAATGTCTATTGAGGTTGCTCTAATGACTATTTTTTATGGGATAAATAGAGTATATATAATATTTAAAAATTTATAGTAAATTACCCCATCCAACAATATGTTGGCTGCTTTGAAGTCACGATAAATGACTTGCTTCTCAGTTGTATGTAAGAATGCAAGGCCTCGAGCTGCTCCTAATGCTATCTTCATTCGTAATTCCCATGGGAGTATTTCTCCACCCTCTGCAATACATACACAAATACAAATTAGTATTATTAATTTTTTTTTAATCTTGAATACTTAAATAAGAAAAATAACATTTTTGTCCCTCAATTATAATCGTAGTATAAATTTACTCTCAATTTATTTATTTATAGTGTATATTTAGTCTTTGAATTCTCTGTGTAAAGTGACAGATTTGATTCTTTAAATTAGAAATATCTTAAAACTTTAGAAATTATAATTTTAATTAAATAAAAAAAAATTAGTGATTAAATGATTAAATCTACCTAACGAATAGGATTGGGGTGGACTTACTTCTGAAAAGGTGGCTTTCTAAGCTGCCCCTCTGCATGTGTTCATAGACCAGCAGAAATTCCTTTTCTTCCCAACAATATCCGATTAATTTTACCAGATTTGGGTGAGAAAATTTCCCCAGGAATTTCACCTCTGCCTGCATCCACACATTTTTAATTTAACTCAATAATCATCCAGAAAAAAAAAAAAAAAAAAAAAAAAAAGATAATGAAGTGACTAACTACACAAAATATCAAAATAAAAAGCAAAAGAAAAAAAAAATTGCCAGATCAATTTGATACATTTTTAAACTTGAATTCCCCCAAAAAGAAAAAAAAAAATTGAATTACAACACCATCGGATATTCATCGAATCAAACTTTGGTCTTATAATCAATGTTGCAGAAGGCGCTAGTTGGGCACTCGAGGACACCTAGCGCCTAGGCGGCCAAGTAATCCGAGTACATTGTCTCTACTTTTCTCCCTAATACACTTATACTATTATAATCCCCCAAACTAGTCAACTGCATATGTTAGATTGTTAATTGAGTACATGACTGGAGAAATATAGAAGAAGAGTAGCCGAGCAGACAAAAAAAATCACTCGGCCGAGTTGAGCGCCATCACGAGTTTGCGCCTAGGGCACCTAATCAATCGGTTAGTCGGTCAAACGACTAAAACCTGTTTAGGGCTGAAATCGCTTCAGCCTAGGAATGTTTAGCGCTTAGGCGGCCGCTTAGGTCGATTTTTACAATATTACTTATAATAATAATAATAAATAAATAATAAATGAGAAAGAGGGAAAGAAGTCTATATAAAAAGTCAAAAGTAATACACCATTGTTTTCCTTTTATTCCCATCATTTTAGTTTAATTTATTATTGAAAAAAAAAAGAGAAAAGAAAAACAGTTGGCAGATAAATTAAAATAAATATTATAGGTGAGTGTAAGTCAAGTGTGCTAGCTATCATGGGCCATCGATTTATTAATTTCTCACACTGCAAATGTTTGACCAACTTAAGTCAGCTACACCATATGAGTCCAGTCAAATTTCACCTTAGAAAAACATATTACAAGAAGAAAGAATTTTAGGTTAACAAACTTTCTTATCTTAAATATACCTAATATATATAGCTTATATTAAATGAGAAGATTTTGGTCTCATTATACTTGAAAAAGAAAATAAAGGAAACAAGTCGGGAAAGAAATAACATCTTTTTATTTTCTTTTCAATAATTTAATATGATTAAAATAATTCTATCATTTTCAGTTTGAATAAGAAACAATAGTAACTGCACCAAAGTATGTATACATGTGTGTACATTTGTGAAGATTTTTGTCGGGACTAGCAAATGTAATACTAATTAAAAATAAAGTGTTGGTTACTTATAAGGAAAAACATAATATTTTTTAGGACAAATGTAATACTTTTACATTTTGATGTAGAAGTATTTTTTTAATCAAAAATATTATATTTTCCTAATGATGTATTACTTTTTTCATACAAGTTTTTGTCAAATTTAAAATATTAATTATATTAAGATGTAATATTATTTTTTCACAAACAAAAAAAAATTGAAAAAGAAAAAAAAAAGGAGTTTATCGTAATTATACCTTAAGCAACGTAAGGGGAACTCTTTGACATTTTCAACGAAACTCAAGGTTGACTAGCCATATGTGATAATTTCACACAGACCCCTCAGGTTCTTCACAATTATATTCACATTCACTAATTTTCGTAAAACTTACGTTAGACCCTATTCCTCGTTATCAACTGTAGATTACGTGTTTCCTGTTGTCACCTAAGTCCTATTTTATTAACGATGTTATAGTTGAGTACTTGAGTGATATAAATGATTACAAATTTAATTTTTAACATAACTTTGAAAAAATTTAGATTTTATTTTTTTTCCAAGTTCTATAATATAAAAACTTATAGGGGTATCTGGGCAAAATTGTCGCATCAATGTAAGTTTCTGCGGTATAGTCTGCTAATTTTTGTTGACTCTCTTAAGAATTCTTTCCATTCACACAACAATGCATTTACACGTTTCTACCCCTAATATCACACCAAAAAAATATCAATTTTACAATAAAATTAATTAAAATAATAAATAATCAATAAATAAATAGTATTATACAAACACATGTTGACTTGTTCTTTTTGGTGAGATGTGCATATCAATATCAATTATTATAATGTATACCCATCCACTCTGTCCATATTCATATAACTTTTTTTTTAAAAACAAAAAAAAAAAAAAAACAAATTTTGAATAATTGAAAAAGATGAATTTATCTGTTTAACGAGGAAGACAACATATGCATGCTTACATATGCATAAAACGTAATTTATTTATTTATTTATTTATGTAATAACTAACTCGGGAACAACAAATATGTTGACACCAATGAGTCAAGACTACTGGTTATAGCAAAATAGGGGCTATTTTTATTTTTGTCCGATCCCTAATTTTTTACGTATTTGTTCATTAACAATTATTTTTTACATTTGATGCATGACTATTAAACTTCTATCACATTAAGATATTTTGATCAATTTTTTTTGGTCAATCTTAGCGAGAATCTCTCATACAATAAACATGTGAGTTATTTTAAAGGATATTTTTATTATTTGAATTTGAGCAAAATGTAAATCACACAGTTAAATATAATAGTCTTAGGGTTAATACTGATGTCACTCAAATAAACTTGGCTGAAAAAATGATTGGAAAAATCAAATATGACAAGAATTTGATAATCATACACCAAATGCATAAAATTGCTAGTCAAAGAGCATATTTGGAAGAGGTACAATAATTGAACGACCATATAAGTGAAAAAAAAAAAAAAAAAAAAGAAGAAGAAGAAGATAATTATCTATGAAAATGGCAATATTCCTCTAGTTGAAGTGTATCTATACATATACTATTTTAAGTTAATTAAATCATGTATTATTAGTCTTAGTAGTTAGTACCAATAATGATTAATGTGTTAGCTAGTATGATTGTACTTGGTAGGACAATATAAAAGATCCTATAGATGTAAATTAAGTTTGTGAGAGGAATTAAATATTATATATATGGAAAAGAAATGTATGAATTATCTTTTCTTAAAAGGTTAAATTCCTAACGTTTTTTTACACTTGATTTGACCGAGTATTTGACACGAGATTTACCTAGTTTTTAAATATGAGTTTCGAGAGGTTCAAAATTAGTCTAGCCGGGTGAAAATTTATTGTGTAAAAAAAATAATAATAATAATGTATGAAGGGGAAGGTACGTTGGTGGTACCTGCCACTCTCTGATGCCTTGTTCGCTGTCGGGGTTGGATTTCTTGACGGCGACAGGCATTCCGACACCAACCTTGGACGGGGCTAAGGTTTTCTCGTCAACCCACCCTTTAAACACGCGCCCGAATCCGCCTTCACCCAACACCGTATCCGGCCGGAAGTTCCTCGTCGCGCTTTTCAGTTCCGCTAAAGTGAACATCTTCAGGTTCGGCGTCACTGTCTTCCCACTCGCCGCCGCTTCCCCGCCGCCCCCTTCTCCATTTCTGGCCGGCGACGCCGCCGTCGGAGTTTTACCCGCCGGAGTCCGAGGTGATTTTACCGGCGTTTTGTTGCCGTGTTCTGCACGGGCACATATGCGGATCAGTCAGAATTACAAATCAAATAAATAAATCACGTAAATATAATTGTAGATATATACCTTTAGAATTATTGGGGGTAGAAAGTCTGAGGTTGCTCGGAATATTCTGTACTGGTTTAGGCCAGCAGTTGCCCATTATTTGTGTTGTTGACGATGATACAGCTAGCTGGTAAGTATTGGGGAATTGAATTGGAGGAGAGAGGAAAGGTGTGAGAAGCAATAAAACATAGAAATGTGTTTATATGGTATGAAGTTTGGATTGGAGGCCAAGTCGTGTAGACCTATTCTTCTCTCTAGGTGCTCTGATTTACCCCTCTCCCCCACATGTTATTAATTGGACATCTATACATACATACATCATACACTACTCACCCTCTCTCTCAAAGTGAGGGGCTCCTTGTGAGTAGTAAGTAAAGGTCTAGCCTTTGTGATTCAGTTGAGTTACCATGATTTACATTTTTCCAGATACTCTGTCGGAGCCGAGGTGTTGGAGTCCTTGGAGTTGGGAATTAACATTTTGGGAAGAATGATACACTACCCACATATATATAATATGTACAACTGCAATAGACTATTGAGTGTAATTTACATATTATTAAATGCATTTGTAATTTTGCCTCGACACACTTTTAAAATTGTAAATCTTGAATCAATTTTGAAAAAATCGCTAGGCGCACTCTAGGCACCTGGGGACCGTCTAGAGCGTTTAGTGCCTAGGCGCGATTTTTGCAACAGTGTCTTGAATACAATAGTATATGTTAGGAAATATACTTTATAGGGTAACAAAATGCACGTTTGCATCTGAGCGTATGTTTTTACTTGATTCATATATATATAAGCCATCCATTTGGTAAGATGTATAGGTTCTAGAGCAATGAGAAAAAAAAAAAAAACCTTTTATCCAAATTTAAAAGTGCAATTCCTAATGATTTAATATATGATGCACTTTGTAACACTATATTGTGTATTTTGACCAGTTTGAAGATGCAGTGCACTTAAGATTCACATTTTAGAATTTAGGGTCTTTTTTTTTTTTTTTTTTAGGTTGGTTATTGTTTCACTTTTTAGTTTTGTTTAAAGGTTCACTTTTTCTTCTAAGGAGTCGTTTGGTACTTTGCTTTAATTAAATTCATGGGAAAGTGTTTCTCGGGAATATATATGATGGGAATAATTTTATAGGAAAAATTAATTAATATGTTTGGAAACATAACAATTAAATTACCTGAAAATTTAATTAACATGTTTGGTTTGTTTAAACTTTCTCGTGACACTTTTAAAATGTCTAATATATCTTTGCTATATACTACACATACCTAATGTGTGTGTGTGTGTGTCAGCTCAAATACGGTCAAGGCTTAACGTGCTGCTGATACGGATGCACCATTATGTATGCAAAAACGCACCAAAAGTGTTAGAAAATTGAAGTATTTAATTGAACTTTTTTAAAATTTGAGAGCCTAATTACACTTTCCTATAATATTTAAGGGTGTACTTGACCGTTTTCCTTAACTTGTAATAAATTTTATTCGACAAAATGCTGATGGTGTGATTCATAAATCCTACCGAATACCCAATTAGTAGGTTAAGTCAAAGAAGACTTAAGAGGTCATGTATAGTATTTAATTTCCATTACAGCATGAATGTGGAGCCTTTATTATTGAAGTGATTACACCGTACCACACACTACTTTTCGAGGCATCTCCAACCTAAGAGTATCCTCAATAGGCATAGATTTTGAGGAATTTTTACAAGTATGGATAGGAAAGAGAAGATGCGAGGGAAAGAAAAAGAAAAAGTAAAAAAAAAAAGAAAAAAAAGAAAAAAAAAAAGAGGTTTAACACACCCAACGGGCACGTGTAGTGCACATGCTTGATAAGCACTTCAATGCTGCTCATTTTTGTTTTGATGGGATCACGTTTGGAGACAAAAATTAAACTAAGTCTGCAACAACCTTAAACATTTTTTCTCTCATTCTTCTCTCTCTTACACTTTAACCAAACTTTCCTCAACAACCACACCGAAATTTCTATTGTGGATTCCCTAAGGAGAAAGAAAGGGAGAAAGAGAGAGGGGATTCCCTAAGGAGAAAGAAAGGGAGAAAGGGAGAGAAAAAGAATTGAAAGAGAGGGGAAATGTTTTTCTTGCGAGAACTATCTCTCTGAAAAAACCTGACAAAGGCGCGAGACATGTAGGCAACATGCGCAACAAAAGTCGTGCAGAAGGTGGGGGACGACCTATGCTTTATTTAAATTTTTTTAAAGTCATTTTCCAAAGGCTATTTTTTATATAATTTTTTTATTCATTATTCTTTTTTTTTTAATTCTTATATTTGAATTTATTTTTAAACTTTTTAATTGTATTAATTGTCAGTATGTGAGATATATATTTAAAATTTCGTATTTGATTTTGAATGTTAATGTATTATGTAGACTATTTTGAAAGCGAATATTACTTTATGAAATTATAATTGATTAGTTTATGAAATTATATTTTATAATACAAAAAATATTTATTTTTATTTAAATTTATTTTATTTAAAATAGAAATTATAATTATAAAGTTGAAATTATTAATTATAGAAAAGTAAATAAAATACTAGATGGTGTATAGGAGTGTGGAGGAGTATGTCCCACAAAAAGGGAGAAAAGGGAAAAGAGAAAAGGGATTGAAGAGAAAATTTGATATGAGATTATACGATGATGTGGAGGGCAAATTTTTCTATGATTCAAGAATACAAGATACATTTTTAATATATTAAAAGTACATTACTTTTGTACTAAAGGGAAAATGGCAATTTTAGTTCATTAGTTATACCTAAATTGTAGATTCAGTCCATAAATTATTACCTTATAAAAATTTCCCCCGGCCCTTTAATTATGTTAAAAGTGACCATTTCAATCTTTTTTTTTTTGAATGCTACTGGCTCTATTACAATGTAGTATCTGTTTAATCTATTACTTATAAATTTTGTTAATGTAAATAATTTATTTTGAATTTTCAAATTATTAAAGGACGTATTACTCATTTTGTAAACTTTTTTCAAAATTCCTCCATCAACCTTCATATATAGACAACTCTTATCGCAAAACCCTTGCTAAATACGGGTCTATATTGATAGCCAAAATGACAAGTAGGATATTTTTTAATTTAAAGATAAACGAATTTTAAGTTTAATATATTAATTTATTATATTTGTTCCTTTTGTTGTATGCAAAATATTTTTTTGAAAACTCGAGTTCATACATTAATGGATAATTCAATCTAGTTATTAGCATATTAAACATAACTATTTTTAAAAATTCATTATGTTAGTGAATTTTTTATTTTTTAATATATACTTCCAAGATCTAATAGTACATTTTAAATGTCATTTCCCTTAGAATCTTTATTTATAACCAGTCCATCAATATCATTTATTTGTCCTTTTACATTTAAAACTATTTTGAAATAAAAAATAATATTTTAATAAATTACCCATCGTGTCAACAATAACCGGTCAAACTTTTCAAATTCGATTTAATCACATAATTTTAGATCGTTCAGAGACCTAATTATAATTTTTAAATTCGACAGTTTAATTACATATTTGTGTGTAATTCAATAACATATTCGAGCATTATTCCTTGACAAATTATACTGCGGACCTTGATCCAAAACGGTGTTGTTTCTTTTAATGAAAAGAAACGGCACTCATTCCATGTCGTTCCGTGTAATTAGTTCTGTTTGTATAACATGTTCAATTTCATTTCATATGCATTGTAGTTTTATTTCAGCACAATTAAACTTTCATTTTGTTTCAACTTTCAACTATAGTATCATTTGACATTATACATACAATAGTCTTATTACAATGAGACATGTTATTGAATTTCATTGTATACTCAATGTAGTCTTATTATAACACCACTAAATTATAATTCTAATTCAACTACGTTTCATTGGAAAATGTACATTCAAATATGTGAAACTGTTATTCAATTTCATTTTATATACATTGTAGTTTCATTACAACACAACTACATTATAATTTCAATATAGCTAGAGTTTATTTGACAATATACACTCAGTATATGAGACATGTTATTCAATTTCTTTTTATACATACTGTAGTTTCATTTCAGCAAAACTAAAGTATATCATTTCTATTCAACTACAGTTCTATTGTGAAACTGTTATTCAGTTTCATTTTATATACACTGTAGTTTTATTACAACACAATTACAGTATCATTTTGATATAATTACATATTCATTTGACAATATACACTAAATATGTGAGGCATTTTGTTATTATTATTTTTTTTAATACTATTGACTCTATTGCATTGTAATATCTATTCAAACATATTTTCTCAACCTAATGAAGCACACAATGTATATGAAACTAAAGTAAAATGAAACTGAATGAAATTGTCTCGCATATTGTGTTGCATATGAAACATACTTCATTTGAAACTGTTTGTATAACATTCAGTTTCATTTTATATACATTGTAGTTTCATTTCAACACAATTAAAGTTTCATTTTGTTTCAACTTCAATATCATTTGACATTATACATGAAATTGTCTCGCATATTGTGTTGCATATGAAACACACTAAATACGTGAGACATGTTATTTAGTCTCGCATTTCAATATAACTAAAGTATCATTTCAATTCAATTACGGTTTCATTTGATAATATAAACACAATATGCAAGACAATTTCATTTTAAATATACTGTAATTTCATTTTGTTATAAACACACAAAAAAAACATAAAATCTGTTAAAATGTAACAATTGCCGTATCTTTACTTAAAATAAACGATACCGTTTTCGGACCATAGTCCACAAATGGGCAATTTATATCCTACACCCCGGTGCGCGTTGCACTAGCGCCCAGATGCAAAACGACGTCGTTTTAATTATTTTTTTTTGAAATTTCCCGCCCCAGTGAATGGCAGTAGTTTTTTCTTTTAAAAAAACCCGCTGTTCAAGAATGTACATAATGTTATACTAGAATACACATAATGTTATACATGAATGTACATAATTATATAACAAAATATACATACTCTTTTTAAAAGATAATACACATAATCTAACATAATACATAATAAACATAAACTTTTAACATAATACACATCAACTCTTAACATAATACACACAAATTTTCTGATTCGGATGTACATAATTGTATAAAAAGAATGTACATAATTGTATAAAAAATACACATAACTGTATGAACCAATACACATAACGTTATGAACAAATACACATAACGTTGTGAACAAATACACATAATCTCAGCAACTTCCTACCGCGCCTCCCAACACTACCCCAAGACGATGTCGTTTTGGGAGGCGCGCGGCGCACAGTGCTATGTACACCGTGGTGTAGCATATAACGATTGCCACAAATGTCTGTGGACCATAACAGTATAACAACCGGGATACAACCCATACAATTAAAGTTGGGATAATGGACCCTAAGAGTTAGGCTCATCTGGCTACCTTAAGAACCACTAAAACAAAGAGTTTAAATAATATATATGGGCTGCTAAGAATGCCCGATCAAGAAGGCGGCCCTATAAACTATTAAAATAAAAAATTAATCCCAAAACTAATTAAACAATTTTATAAATATAGAATACTTTTGGGCTTCAATTAGGGTATCCACATGAATACTTATGCCATGAACCCATGTCCACCTTGCAAGGTGGATTCAGATTAAAATACACAATTTAAAATATTGAATGTTCACAATTAATATACTAAATGTTCATATTGTAAATTGTGAACATTCAGTATATAAATTGTGTACTTTTAGACTTGAGTTTATCTTGCAAGTTGAATTCGAGTCTATAAAATAATTTGCCACATCCACATCCATTCATTATTCTATGGATCATAGTCCACACAACGACAAATTACACAGTTCACACAGTTGTGTGCACTACTATCCAAAACGACATCGTTGAATTTTATGAGTTAGAATAATATACTTTATGTATTAGAATAATGTACATTATGTGTTAGAATAATAAAATTTTTGGGGTAAGATAATGTACTTTATGAGTTAGAATAATGTACATTATGCTTTAGAATCATGTACTCTATAAGTTATAAAAATGTATGTTGCAGTGGATCATGTGAAAAAAAATTACACGAAACAACGTCGTTTTATTTATTTATTTATTTATTTTATTTTATCGTGGTCCATACAATTATGTGGACCATAACTATTGAATTTCAATCTTATTATAAAAAAGAGTTAATGATCGATTTGGTCTCTTAACTATAGTGAAATTTTCGATTTGGTCATTGATTATCATTCTTACCAAATTAAGTCTTCAACTTTAGAAATTTTACCTAATTTCGTCCTCCTGTTAATTTGAGCCGTAGGATGATAATGGGGGGACGAAATTTAGATAAGATTTTCAAAGTTGAGGACTTAATTTGGTAAGGAGTTAATTACCGATTTCGTCATCGAGTATGAGGATTTCACCAATTTGGTCCTAGACTACCAAAATTTCTCAATTTAGTCCTCAACTATGCTTTTTTTTTTACCTGAAATGGTACTAAAGTCAAACTATCATTTTTAAGGGTTAAAATTGAGGATAGATTTGTAATTTCACTTCCCAAACTACCATCCCCTACGACTTCCTAGAGCAGCACCTCTCCGCCCAAAACTTCCGAGTTTCCGGTCCTCTATGGCCTGCTCTCATCTTTCCGGTCTAGCCGTGTTGCTAAAGGCAGCCCACCCAGTCTAGTCTACAACTTATCCTCGACCAAGATGGCAAAGAAAGTGAATTTACAAATCTGCCCTCAGTTTTAACCTTTAAAAATGATAGTTTGACTTTAGGATCAATTCAGGTAAAAAATGCATAGTTGATGGCTAAATTGAAAAATTTTTCTTAGTCGATGATCAAATTGGTAAAATTCTCATAGTCGAGGGACCAAATTGGTAATTAACTCATTTGGTAAGGAATAAGGATGATAGTCGAGGACAAAATTGATAATTTCGTTATAGTCAAAGAATCAAGAAGGTGATTAACTACTCTACAAAAAAATTTTAAAATTTCTTTTTGAGTACTATTGACTTTACTACAATGTAGTATTGCAAGCCAAAGAGTCAAAACCCTACCACCGAGGTTCAATCCTGTGACCTTCCCTCAAAGAGAGGGACAAAAATGCCATCTGAGCACAATGTGCTTGGCAAAAAAAATTTCAAAATTAAAAAATAAAATAAATAAAATTCAACACTTCTGTACCTACTGGTAGATGGGGACGACAACATTAATGTGATTACACAAGTTGTTCAACAATGTAGATTGTTGAGTATTGGACACGACAATGTGAATTATTGAGCGTTGAGACGTGCACGATCAAGTTGTAACTACTTCGTATCTTATTTCATAATATTCATTAATCATTATGATAATGTGTTACAACCAAGACTATGTGGTCTAATGATATCTGGGTTGGACTTTCATTTGGAAAGTTGTGAGTTTGAGCTTCAGTGGAGGCGTTTCTTTGTGTTTCAATAGATTGAAAAAGTATATTGTGAGTTTGAGTTTCAGTGGAGGCGTTTCTTTGTGTTTCAGTAGATTGAGAAAGTATATGAACAGATACTACATTGTAATAGAGCCAGTAGCATTCAACAAATGATGATTTTATAAAATAAACATTTATAAATGTGGCTCTTCCAAATAGGAGGTCACAAATCCGAATTTCAGTGGGGTATTAATTTTTTGTATTTCAATAGATTGAGAAAGCATGTATAAACAGATATACATTGTAATAGAATCAATGAACAATAGCTCGATTTTTTATCAGATAAATCAAAATATATGATATCAGGAAAGAATAAAAATGGGAGAAAAAGCGTCATATATATTTTTCTCTTTTTTATTTCAATAAATGTTTTATAAGTAATGTAAATACTAGGAACCACAAATGATGATCTTATAAAATTAACATTTATAATTGTAGCTCTTCTAAATGGAAAGTCACAAATTCAAACTTCAATGGGACATTAACTCGCCTCAATTGAGAAAATATGTATAAACAAATATACATTGTAACAGAGTCAATGAACAATAGCACGATTTTTTTTTGGATAAATCAAAATATATCATGTTAGGAAGGAATAAAAATGGAAGAAAAAGTGTCATATATATTTCTCTTTTTTATTTCAATAAATGTTTTATATACTAGGAACCACAAATGATGATTTTATAACATTAACATTTATAACTGTGGCTCTCCCAATGGGAGGTCACAAATCCTAACTCCAGTGAGAGTATAACTCTTTGTGCTTTAATAGATTGAGAAAATATATATAAACAAATACTACATTGTAACAGAATCATTGAACAGTAACTCAATTTTTTATCGGATAAATCAAAATATATCAGGAAAGATAAAAATGGAAGAAAAAGTGAAAGTATGTGTAATATTACTCTAGAATTCCAAATAACACAAAATGGTATCCATGAATCATTTCTAAATTATTAAAGACCACTTTCTTCAACCTACCATTTCTATATGGTATTCTACAGCTATTAAATTCTTTCTCTTCTGTCTCTAAAACTAAATTTTTGATTCAAATGTTACAGAATAAATCCCCCATGGTTTTAACCTAAAAATAATTGAACATATAATCTGTACAAGATTTTTCTTTTGTGGGTTCCTAGTAAACATGCAAAAGTTATCATTGTGTACCTCGGTTGAGCTAATTTACCTGACATTAACTTTGTCCAAATCGAAGGGAATGGCTAAAGCCCGTTATAGCTGTAATGCTAAGTCAGGTTGCTGGGATGAACCAATTTGTAAACCGGAACTTGGTGATCCGGGTGGCTGAACTTTGACATTCAGGTCCGGTGGAACTGGAAAACACTGCCTATGCTGCCCCGATTCACCAGAGAGCCTTGTGTCGGATTCTGGCAAGTTCTTCCCCATTGAACTCAAATGGCTCCGGGGTGCTGGAAGAGAAGATGATGAAGCGTCACTTCCAGAAACCATGCCAATCATGTGAGAAGGCACCGAGCCATCTTGCAGTCTAGTGTGCATTTTTGGGGTGCCTAACTTTGCCCGGTCCACCATATGAGTTGGTAAATCATTCCCGAGAACACCGTTGATACCATTCCTATAAGGAGGATAAAATAAAGGTTGTTGCTGAGCCTGGGAGCTAGAGCTAGAGCCCGGGGTTGTCCAAGAAGACATGCCACGTTGGCCCACCATCTCATTCTGGCTATTCAATCTCCTCACCGCTTCTATCATTGCTTCAGAAGCCACCCCCGCAGCAGCTGAATGCGAACTAGGTGCCGGTGGAGTTACCGGTCTACTAGAATGGTGATCGGATGCCAAGCTGTTTGATGAGTTCTGCTGCTCATTTGAGTGCAACGATGCCTGTGGAGGCGGTGGTCCTCCACCTTCTCCCACCCATCCCGGGCCAAACTCAACTCCAGGTGGAAGAACATGCTGCAACTTTTTCGAAGCTACTTTCCAGGCAACAGGCCCAAGATTTGCCGCAAATCTGGCAAGGCTTCTTGCATAGGCATGCGGCTCCGAATGAAGGCCTACCTGCACAGTAATTAAACAGTACGCTTGGGGTTCAGTAAGGTAGGTAACAAATCAATGAATGAATCCCTGAATCTACACGAAAGATCAATGTTGAAAAAATCGCAATCTACACGAAAGATCAATGTTGAAAAAATCGCTAGGCGCCTGGGGACCGCCTAGGGCGCCTAGGAGGCCGAGCGCCTAGCGCCGATTAATCGGCGCTTAGGCGCGGTTTTTGCAACAGTGCGAAAGATCTATGATTTTTTATTGTGGGGTGGGGTGGGGGGGAGAGAGAGAGAGAGAAGCCACAGAATTACGTACAGCACTTAGCTGCTTCACGTCTCCATTTGCATTACTGAATAAAGAAGATTCATTTCCAGAAAGAGAAGGCTGCACTTGTTTGTAGGTATAACGCTTGTTCTCATCTACTACTGAAAAATGCTTCTTTCCATACTTCATGTCCGCCCTCAAAATGGCAGCTGAAAAAGAAAATTTTATTGCTTTCACTCTACGAGAAGATTAAACACAAATAAAACATTGCATACATAATGTACATGTCCAAACCTGGAAATTCCTGATTCCAATCAATCGACCATTCAGAGCAACTCTCTCCATTGCGTGATCGATGGCCTAAAGATGCATCAGTAGAGTGAAACCTATAAAATGGAGTTGCCTTTCTTAGATTGTAAGAATTAGATCCAATTGCTTTATCCTCCCCACTAGCATGAGTAGCACCTGAGGAAAGCTCAGGAGCAACACAATCAACAGGAGATGACTCAAGTGGCTTTTTCATATTTTTACTTGGGGGCCTTCCTCTACGAACTACCTTGGGCTGTGGTTCACCATCGTCACCTTCACGCCTCAAATTCCCAAAGTCCCTTTTCGCTAAATCTTGAATAGACCGTGCCTGAAAAAGTTGAATTCTGAAGAATAGGCAGGAGATAAAAAATGAAATGTAGCACACAAAAAATAAGGCACACCTGCCGAAAGTAAATAGTATCCGGTGCATTATACTCCATTGCATTTGAGCATATCAAGATAACATCGGCCTGCATGAAATAAGTTATTGGAGTCATTTGCAAATCCAATCACTTAAAACGTGTTGTCAATTTCCAAATCTAAATGAAAATTTAACTAATGAACAGAGAAAAAGTGGAACGAACAGAAACGATAAGATACAACACAAAGTCATGACTAAATCAAGCGGGATGAATGTGTATATCCAAACAATTGTCCACTACTAGAGCTTTCTTACTATTAGTTAATTAAGCATCGTCATTCAAAAAGCTAGTAAATATGATAATAAAGTAAAATAAAATAAAATAAAACTTGAGGTCAAGCTATAAAACTTTCCAAGGAAACAGAACTCCCATATTAAGAATTGAGAAGCCTCCCCTGTGGAGAGAAATTGCAAACAAACAAAATTATCTGAGCAAGATAGCCACTTCTAAGAGCCAATGCAGTAAAGATTGTATTTGCTTCATAAGAATATCCTTTAGTCAAAGAAAAAGCAGCGAACCACTTTAGCAATGACAATTAAAGAAAACAATTGAGAAAACACTACTTTGAGATGCATTTGATTTGGGAGGAGTGAGCAAGCAGCATTAGTTTTGAGTTTGCTTGTTAATAGCATATCATATATAACATGTATCACCACCAACTAATAATTCAAAAATCAACTCTAATTACAATGCTTCAAATATTTCCTTACAGGCTTTTCCTAGGCTTGTAGGACTTGAACATTTTACACCAAAAACATTAGCCTCCACAGAATTCCTTAATGCCTTAATGTCCCTTTAAGCAAATAAAACAGATATTCATCCAACCATCTAAAATTTGTGAAACATGTCTCAGAATGATAATTTTCTATAACTGCTAAATCTTACGACCATTAGGGAGTAACTCAGGAAGCACCACGCCAAACTAACAATACAAAGCCAAATTCTCAAAACAGACATAGAGAATTGGAACATCCTCCTGAGCTAAATAGGTGCATAATAAAATTAAAAGAAAAAGCCTTAACACAACAGAAAATTGGAATATCAAGATTTTATTATCACTTTGTAATTTGGAATATAAAACAAGCAGCTACATTAGCCACCGGAAAGATATCAAGAACAATTAAAAAAAAAAACATAATAGAAATATATTTAATATCTCAGTTTGAAATCCAGAATTGACCTCCAATTCCTCAAGGTTTGAATAGAGCCCCCCATCAAGCTTCTTCCTGACAGTCCCAAAATCCATTGGATGCTCAATAATCTCATGATAATCAGGTAACTGTACATAACCATTTGAACATGTTAATTTCATAAATTTACTGCTAAACATCAATGTATCAACAGAAATGCACCTCATTCGGATCCACAGGCTCAGCAAACACTCCATATGTATCCTTCCTGCATTATTTAAACGACGAAACTAACATAAGCATACAAATAGGCATATTAGAAAATAAGCCTATATATATGACACTAAACCAAACAGTACAAATTCAAGAAATAAAAGGACATCAAAGCATCTGAGAGGTGGGAAAAGAAAAGAAAAAAAAAACACACACTTTTGAAGTCTGTCCAGAATGAAAACCAACAACTTTTTGTCTGGCAAAGGTGCTGTGGGGCCGAACACCAATGGCGACCCTGTCCATAAATTAATGACCAGAATTAGATTAAAAAGCAAACAAAATTACTGGGTTTAAAACCAAAAAGCATTCTTTTTCTTTCAATTCTTCAAAAGAGTAAAAGGTTTGATTGGAACCTTGAGTATCGGTCCCTTTCTGACCCTTTTCTTCCTGTAAAATGAATGCAAAACCCAGCAGTTAGAACAAAATTACTTTCCTTAAATACAGCTACTCACTTAAAGGCTACTGCTACACCAACCCTGAATGTTTCAGTTAAAGGGGTCAGTGAGAAGTGGATAATAATGGAGTATATAACAACAGAAAGCGAAGATCAATTCGGACCCAAAAACACTGAACATGATAAAGAAAAGACAAAATCTGGGACTTCTGGAATATGGTATATGTGTATAAACTATAAAGTACTCCTCAGAGTACATCTATAATTAGCAAAACAAGAAAATGTTTTAATTAAAAAAAAAAAACAATTTTTTTACAAACAGGGGAGGAAAATAATTCCTTTAAGATAAAGAAATTCCACTCTTACTTCAAGGCCCATAAAAAAAAATTATTTTTATTTTATTTGTGTATATCATAAATGTATGGAGAAGCGCCGAAGAGCCTGACTGAGTCAAACCAGGAAAGTCACAGAAAGATGAGAGGAACGTTGGGGTTACGCGCCAAAAGAGAAAAGGTTGAGATCACATCGAGGCACAGAAACCTCAGGATTTTTATATTTTTTTCTCCAAAACAAAAAGTAAATTAATACGGCGTTCTTCAATTAGCTCTTTAGATTTGAATTTTCAAAAAAATTTCCAAAACCCTTTTGCATCCATTTACCCCGGTCCTTGCTCCCCTCCCACCAAAAATCCAAAAAAACCCCGAAATTGACGACCTGATCCAGAACGACGTCGGTGGATCTGCGATTGACGGCGTTGATCTTGCGCTTCTTAACGGAAGCCTCACGGTTGTCGCCGTCCGGGTCGGACTCGGAAGCCCAATTGCCGGAGGAGGAATTGGGTAAATGTTGGTGCTGATTGTTAGACTCTGGCAAGCGGACGACGAGCTTGACTTTCTTTTCCTTCCTCTCGTCGTCGTCGTCGTCTCCGACGAATTCGGGCGGCGGAGATTCGGAATTCGAATTAGGGTTCCGGCGGGTGGAAGTGGAAGCAAATTTATGATTCTCCCGGTGCCGGACATCGGACAGAGACGGTCGGCCTTTCTTCTTCTTGCTCCTCAGGTTTTCGGCCTTACCCATTTTTTTCTTTCCTTTCGGACCAAAATTTTCTCTCTCTACTGTTTATCTCTAAACCTCCGTTCTCTCTCTATCTCCCTCTCTCTCAACACCTTTCATTTTCTTTCTTTTTCTTTTTCCTTTTAACTTACAAAAAAAAAAATATGTTCGTTTTATTGGTCCACTAAAACACTGACAAAACAATTTAAAAATAAATTAAAATACCCGTGTATGGTGGGTCCCAGCAGTAAATAATACGGAGTACAAAGTAGTATTCAAGATTTATTAGGGTTTTTTAATTTATTTCAAAAAAAAAAAAAGATTTATTAGGGTTTTTTTTTTTTTTTTTAAAATAAAGTTCAAATTGGCTAATGAACCTAATCTGAATATTAGGTCGAAAAAAAAAATTATAATTAGATTACTGAACACTCTAAAAATATTTAATTAAGTCACTGAACACTCCAAATGTATGCAATTTTAGAGGATAGGTGGTTACCATCAATTTTAGCAAGTTACATGCTTATGTAACAGTTGAGTTGGCATTTTTTTTTATACTTTTTAAATAATTTCTAACAAATTTTAATAATAAATTTTTTTTAAAAGTAAATAAAAAATTAAATTAAAAAAATAAATAATAAATAAAACGACGGGCCCGGCCTGTTGTTTAAAAAAATAAAATTAAAATTTATTATTAAAATTTATTAAATTTTTTTAATATTATTAAAAATGCCAACACAGATGTCAAGTAAGCAGGTAATTTGTTAAAATTGATGGTAACCTGCTATCAGATGAAATTACATACATTTGGAGTGTTCAGTGGCCTAATTGTACCTCTTTTTTTTTTTTCGTTGAGTGGCCTAATTGCATTTTCAGGTTACGTTAAGTGGCCAATTTGAATCATATTCCAAAAAATAAAATAAATAGTAGGTTATTTACAATCTCTTTTCACCTTCAATTTTTTTTTTTTTTTTTATCCAACGGAGGAGACACCCCAAATACACATGCAAAGCTTTTAGGATTCCTCCATGCCCCTTATACGTGGGACGCCTTCTTGGGCATTTCTTAGACTTACCACTACGTTTGGTGGGGGTAGCAAAAATTTTAACATTTCACTTGAGAGTTCGTAAGAGAATTTTACCATACATTAAGGAGGTTGATGGATTATGGGTCCGAGCACGGAAGGTTAACATTGGCAGGCGCAAGGCGGATTAACAAGGAAGAAGGGTAAATAAGTAAAGTGAAACATAATGATGGAGCAATCAGGTCAAATGGAGAATCGAAGGAATAAATTGAGGAGTCAGCATAACCTTCGAGGAGTTGGCCTAGACGTGCCCGAGTACCTGGATGAGTGAATGAGGCATTCGAATCTGAGTGGTAGGTGAGAGCACCAGCCGGTCTATCTGGTGAAGCTGAGTGGCTCATTTAATTAGTCGTGAGGCCTGAGCGAGTAAAGAAATCATTCGGATTAGGAGACTAGATGGGTAGAAGGACTAGTCATGCAGCATGATGGAAGGTCAGAAGGTTCATCCAATCAGATAGTTAGGGAAGTCGTGTGGGTACATCAACCAGTCTTACCAAAGCTCAAGTAGGCCTAGCTGGGTAAGGGAAGGAGTCGGCTCGAGGTGTTCGGGTGAGAGCGAGAAGATAGAAATGAACCAATTAAGGCGAATTAATGGCAATGATGAAATTAACCGTTGAGAGAGATGATTCGTCGCAAAGGAGATGGGGAGTCGGCGCAATGATTAAGTAATATTTATGACATTTAAAGGCTTTAGTTACTTCATTTATTGTATTAATGAATTGGCCGAGTGTAATGGTCCTCCTACCCGTATAAAAAGTCTGAAAAGACACTGTAAAAAGGGTTAATCATTCTGAAATATACACGCGAGAGTTGAGAGCAAATACTTTTTCGACGATCATTTGCATGTTTCTGGTAGTGTTGACCCGCCGGAAGGCTGCTCTGGTAGTCTCGAAACCAACATAGGTGCTTGATGAAAGTCAAGTTTTACTGGTGGAGCTAGGTATATGATACAAAATTACCAGGATGCAATGGCCATTTGTCATTGGATAGGATATCTAAATCGTTTTTCATTACATTCACATGTAATCCTAGGTGGCTAGAGATACGCCGTTAGCTTGATAGGAGAAATTTAAGGGCTAAAGATAGACATGACATTGTGTGTCGAATATTTAAAATGAAGTTGGATTGTCTAATATGGGAGTTCAAATCTAGGGAAATCTTTTATGTAGTTAGAGTAGGTGCACTAAACATTTTAAAGTAATTATTTATTTACATAATTGCGATTTCTCAATTCATCATGCATTTATTAACATAAAATCTTTTTATACCAATTATATACACCATAGAATTTCAGAAGCGAAGACTTTTACACGCACACATTTTGCTTTTCTTAGCTAAAAATCAAGGCAACAATTCGATCAACTTCATGGACTCTATTATATCAGCAGAAATACCTGACAAAGAACACACCAAAGGCTACTACAACGTAGTTGAAGAATTCATGATTCATCGTCCACGTGGAGCTGCACGAAAAAAGTCACCTTGCATGATAAATTGTAGATGTTCTAAGTATTTTCCAAAGAAGTTTGTTGACTATTATAGTTTTGACAAATATAGATACTCGATCTATAGGCGCCGTGATGATGGTATAACCATAAACAAAAATGGTATTCACTATTCAGTTGGACAATAGATATGTGGTACCACACAATAGGTACTTGCTTTTGAAGTATAGGACACACATGAAAGTAGAATGGTGTAACCAATCGAGATCTATAAAATACTTATTCATGTGAACAAATGCAATGATCGGGTAACAACTTAATTTTATACAAGTACTTATGGACGAAATTGGCAACAAAGTCATAGATGAGATAAACATGTATGTACTACGATTGTCGTTATGTCCCCACGTGTGAGGCTACGTGGCGTCTACTTAGCTTTGACGTCCAATACAAAACACATGCAGTTGAAAGGCTAAGTTTTCATCTTCTTGATTGCCAGTCTGTTATATTTCAAGATGATGATAGTGTTGACGATGTCTTAAACTGACATACTATTGGTCAAAGTATGTTCCTTGGATGGTTTGAAGCGAATAAGAGATATGCAGATACCAGGATTTTAACTTATATTGAGATGCCTAATAAATTTGTTTGAAAAAAGGATATTCGAGAATTGCATCCAAGGAAAAATAGATTTTCAATTGGTCGTATTTTCTATATACGGCCGCGTAGTGGTGAAGTATATTACTTGAGATGCCTTCTTAATATAGTTTGTGGGCCTACATGTTTTAAAGAAATCCGTACATTTGATGGCGTTGAGTATATGACTTTTAGAGATGAATGTTATTCACGAGGATTATTAAATGATGCAATCAATGACGCAAATCATTGGTCAACAACGCATTCGATGAGAGAACTATTTGTGACATTGTTGATATTCAATTCTTGGAATAGGCCAAAGACTATTTGGAATGATGTATGGAACAATCTCGCGAAAGATGCACAATTCAATCAGCGTAGATTACTACTCAAACTAGGTTTTTTATATTCATTTTAAACATTCCTTATTTTACTATATACAAACTACTTTTCAGTATAAAATAATTAATTGTATTACTTATGATTTATTGCAGATCTTATCTTAACTGATAATGAGAAGAAAAATCTTACTTTGATTGAGTTGGAAAAGTTGTTACAAACACACAATAGATCTTTGCAAGATTTTCCTCCGATGTCTATTCCAAACTTAGTCTACGCGACGTTAAGTGAAAATCGATTGTTGCTTGAGGAGTTATCTTATGATCATGCAGCCCTTGCGGAAGAGAGTGATAACTTAACAAGGAGACTTAGCGATGAACAAAAGGTTGTATATGACACAGTCATTGGAGATGCGTCATCAAACAGTGGGGGATATTTTTTGTATACAGTTACAGAGGAACATGGAAGAGATTCCTATGGAGAGCTTTATCTGCTACATTGCGATCTAAAGGTGATATAGTTCTTAATGTTGCATCAAGTGGTATAACCTCCATGCTTCTTCCCGGAGGCAGGACTGCACACTCAAGATTTGCAATACCTATATCTCTTACCGAAAACTCCACATGTAATATTAAACCAGGAAGTCACCTTGCTGATTTTATTGTTAAGACAAAGTTAATAATCTAGGATGAAGCACCAATGATACACAAACACTGTTTTGAAGCGTTGGACAGAACAATGAGAGACTTATTACGTTTTGTCAATCCTTCAAGTTCCAATAACACATTTGGTGGTAAAATGGTGGTTTGGGGGGGGGGGGGGGGGGGGGTGATTTTAGATAGATATTACCTGAGGCACAAGGCAAGATATTGTATTTGTAAGTATTAATTCCTCTTATTTGTGGAACAATTGCAAGGTTTTAAAATTGACTAAGAATCTTTGTTTGAATATTATGGAACCTGGTTCTGAGTTGCAACAACTTGAAGAGTTTGGCAATTGGCAATTGGATTGCGGCTGTTTGAGATGGGCCAATTGGAGGTCCAAATGATGATTGTGTAGATGTTGATATCCCACAAGACATGTTATTGCCCACGACTAGTGATCCCATTGTCACTATAGTGGAAGCTACTATACATTTCCAATGATTAAGAGTGTCAATTGTGATAATAGTTTTGTTTTGGAAAGCATGGCGATCCTAGCTCTAACACTATATGTGGTCAACTCAAAACGATTACATGAGTAACATGCATGTCGTCGAAAGCAGGACATACTTGAACTGTGACACAGTATGTACTTTTGAGTCAAATGATGGCATTCTCGTGAACGTCCACACACCGAAATTCCTAAATAGAATACGAGCATGTGACATACCTAATCACTCACTAACATTAAAGGTTCACTCCCCTTGTGATGCTCTTGAGGAACATAGATCACTCCCTCGGTTGTGTAATATATGGTACTAGGTTGGTAATTACCAGGTTGGCAGAACACGTAATAAAAGCCAAAATAATGACGAATGGCCATGCAAGTACTAGAGTTTTGGTTCCTCGGATAACTATGACACAGTCAAACCCAAGATTGTCATTCAAATTCAAGAGAAGACAATTCTCGTTAATGCTTTCG